CTTCAAATCCAAAATTCAACCTTAAAGAAATGTTTTATAGAATTTGTTATACCCCTAACAACCTCAACAATCATATTTAATCATCATTACTTCATATTACCTACCCCATAAGAGAAACCCCAACAAAAAAGTCTCCACAAATCTAAAGGAAACTATGTAGAATGACAGAGAAGAAGGCTAAAAACTTACCTCAAGTGGTTGCAAGGCTCAAAACTAGCTCCAACATACTAGAAAATCATGCCTTAGCAAAGCCAAGATGAAGCTCTCTCTGTTTTCTTCTCCCTCTCTCATGTTTTTGACCTAAAACACAAAACAAAGATCATTTTAAAAATGCTCATTTGGTCACGGTCGTGATAGTTTTAATCCTGTTTGCATGCAAAGACATCTAATTTAAATAGCCCTCCATCTTTGTTAATGTCGCAGTCAAGCCCTATGCAATATTCATTCGTGCACGGACAACATCATAATGGCCAATTCTTACTTAAGCCCATAGGTTTGGGCCAACCCAACCCAATTCTTGTTTTGCACCTAATTAACAATCTTATATGATTTTAAGTCCAATTTAATCTATGATTAAATGGCTAAACATGTGATTAACCTCAAATAACTTCAAATACAAATTTATTTTTCAATTAAACCTTAAAATAATATCAATCCTGGTTTTAAATCCTCAATAAAACATCAATTGTCACAATTTATTTTTGATATGAAAATCAATTTGTCACACCTAGCAGAAACGTGTGTCCCTAAAAAAAAAGTCAAATATACCAATACGTTATACATACACATATGTAATACATATTAAATATATGTGTCTTTATCAATATTTTTTTAAAAAATAAAGCATATATTTTATTACTTCTTCTGATTTTATATATAAATAACTTTCTAAAAAAATTAATAGTCCTTTTTATGCATCACTTTAGTTAAAAAGATGGATAATTAATTATTAATTTTTTAATTTTATTCTTTTATACTTTTTTATGAGTAGTGTAAGAGATTAAGTATAGAAGAAAAAATGTTTTTAAAAATAATGCGTTTAATAAGTATAAATTGAGAAATTTCTTTCTTTGTTTTGACAATATTAATAATTCAACTAGCTTTCCTTAATTCACCAGTGATTAAATAAAGTATTTGGTTAAAATATTGTTATTATTAAAATTAACGTTTCATTAACAACAAATGATACTAGATATTTATATTATAAATTATTTTAATTAAATTATTTATTAACAATTATTATAAAATTGAGCATGAGTTTATCATTTATTTTTTGTTTAATTTGGAAAAAAGTCACTTCTATTTTTTTAAAAAAATCAGAAATATGAAATGAGTTATGAAACTTGATTGAAAATATAAACACCTATATATATATATATATATATATATTCTATGTAACTTTTTTAAAGAATATATGGTGTAATTTTCTATTTTGATACATCAGTTTTAATTTATTTTTAAAAATTAATTATAATACATATTAAAAAAAATAACATATACATATTTTTTTGGGGGGAAAAAGTGGTTTGCCTTCAACCATGAGGCTAGTTCTACCCCTGTTGTTCATTTTTTTTTTTTTTTTGAATAAGGGTGATGAATGTATGTATCATTGAGCTTGCCAATAGTGTCAGGATCCCAAAACCCTTTTGACAAGTCTAGAAATGCTATTTTTAAGGTCATTCCAATGGCTATGGATTAAGCCGGCATTGAGATCATCCAAGTCTGGACCTTTAAAGGCTTTGATGTCAAAGGAAGCATTTTTAATCTCTTCATCATTAGCTTCCATGTTGATGGAAAACAATTGAGAAGAGGAAAGGGGAGGAAAGGTTCCTTTGATGCTCAACTTAGGTTTCCACTGAACATCTTCCCTGAAAGTGTTTTCAAAATAGGAAACAACCATGTTCTTGAGGTGCTGTGGTCTTGCATCCAATTTCCATATTCATGTTTAAGAGATTAGACTTGATTCCTTTTCCTTCTAACTGTTACAGAGACACGAAAGAATTTTGTATTGTGATTACCCCATGTCAACCACTTGCATATTAATTTTTTGAGCTAGATTAACTTTTCTTGGAGAACAACTTTGTTTCGTAGAGTTTCTGTTATGATCAATTCTCTCTAGTCTTCTTCTAAGAATCCTTCTCTTTTTAGCAGTGATACTACCAATATTTTTTTTGTTCCACTGAGAGGCAGATATTGCAAATTTGGTAGCTCCCACGTTTCATTCATTATTTAGCCAAGAGTCTTGGTTGAGAGATTTAAACATGGCACAAGTGTGATAAAGGGTGACCGCCTATGTCTCAAAGATTTGGAATTGTAGGCGCGTTGTCTCTGAAACTTTTCACTTAAGAGTTGATGATTTACAAAGACAAAGAAGAGCCGATACCTTAATGCTTCTCAAAACTAGAATTAGCAGTAAAAAAAAAAAGTTGATAAAATTATGAGCAAATTAGGTTTTCCGAACTAGATTAGTGAAGCTATGGTTTATGTAGGGGCATTTGGCTCCTGTGGAATGAGGATGAGGCGTTCAATTTATTGAATACTTTTATTCCACACTCGAACTATTACACTGTAAAGTTAAAAAAAAAGTAGGTATAGATTCTTGTTTTTGGCTCACCAATGCTTATGGTGAATCAAATTATCTTCTTAGAAGATATCTGTGGAGGGACCTCAAGACTATTTGTAGAATTATGAGCGAGCCATGAATGGTAGTAGGGAATTTTAATGCCTATCTCTCTTAGATAAAAATAGGGTACTCCTAATACTACCTCTGAAATATTTTCAGAACTGCTTTAACTACAACGGCATTATTGACATTAATGTGGTGGGTGATATATTTACATGGGAAAGAAATGATGTAAAGGAGCAGATTGATTGTGCTTTTACAAATATTCAATGACAGCTTCGTTTCCTCAAATTGTTGTTAAGCACCTGAGCAAATTTGGATATCATCATAGGCATGTTGAAACTAGAAAAGTTAAATGGAGAGTTTCAATAAGGACCTATTAACTATACATATTTAAATTCAAAACTCTTAAATTTTTAAAATTTCACTATAATTTATAGTATAATTTTATATTAAATTTTTTGAGAAAAATGATAAAACTGCCTTTCATTTAAATTAATATTAAAATTGTCACACTTCACTTATTAATTAGCTTGCTTCACTTGTTCATTAATTTACAAAATATTATTAATTATCCTACTTCACTTGTTCATTTTTTTAGAATGAAACCAAGTAAAACTCTGACAATAAACAAATAAAATAGAGTAATAAACAACAGTTTGTAAGTAAATAAATAACATATATTATATAAATTAATAAATTATTTTTAAGATGATTTAAATACCTAAAATGAAAATAAGTTAAGTAGGAGAATTAATAACATTCTATAAGTAAATTAATAAGTGAAATATGATAATGAATAAGTGAAGTAGGAAAGTTATGATATTAATTTAAATGAGGGGTAATTTTATCATTTCTCTCATAAATTTAATATCAAATCATTAAAAATTCTCCCAAAGTTAATATAACAAAGATTTTTTTTAATGACCAATTCATAATTTTATCTAGGCATGAATGCATAACATAATGAGTGTGGATACTGTATCTACGAGATTTTATCTATGCCTTAGAATTAATATTTAACCGGAAATTAATGAAACAATAAGTTAAAGGATGGTTCCTCCTTTCTTCAATTTGTGTCTTCTTACTTTCTTTTATCTACATTTTCTTATTCTCACCCTCTCCGTTCTCCTTTTATGTCTTCTCTTTTAAATCTTTATGTCAGAGACATAAGACACAATAAAAGGTAGAGCATGATTTGTGTTTTTTACATCTCATGTCAAAATTTTCAATAATTGATCTCCATAATATCATGAGAGATTTACTAAAATGTGAGGACTAAATGTATCTTTAGATTTTTTTTAAAAAAAATTACATCAAGATTGATTTTAATCATTAAGAGATCTCATAAAATATATAAAATATTTTTAAATTCCAAATCTTATATTATTATAACTTGATAAAAGAATATGATAATTTAGATATAAGTTTAATATTAAATTATTATTTTTTTATCAAATTATAATTATATAGAATTTGAAACTTGATAATAATATATATATATATATATATTATGAGATTTTAAGATAATTAAAGTTTTTATGTGTGAGACTTCTAAGTAATCTTTTCTAGAGTTGCACAAAAAATAGGACAGCACTAGATTTTATGCTAACCTGAAATCCGGTGTCTTTCATGAAAAGAACTGGATTAGGCAACTCATAGTCCTGTCTTGTTCAGTGATAACCTAAAGATTAACAGGATCGGACTTGGTTCATAGGACTGGAGATTGGTCCTGTCAATCTAATACTCACATAGCTTTTTTTCCCCTTTTTATTCTATGAGAAGTAATAATCCATTTCAACATAATAAACTCAATTAAGATAATAAAAAAAATTATAATAATAAATCCATAATAATTTCAAACAATAAGAAAAAAAATATTTCTGTTATAATTCAAATGATTTAAATTTATAACTTTAAAAAAACAACACTAAATAAAATTTAACAACACTACATTACAACAACAATTTGGAAATAAACTCAATAAATCTTCATACAATCATCTCTTAACATCAATTACACTTCAAACATTTATAAAAAATAAATTAATTATAATCATAATAAAAAAATAATAGAATTGGACTGGATCAAATGATTAAGATGCCTAGTCTCTTGTCCAGTCCAATCCAAAAAAATAGTCTAGTCTTTTCAATCTTTTTAATCCTGAAAGATTAGTATTTATATGAAATGAGTAAAACTGAAATCATCTCAAGTTAAACTGAATCAGAAAAATTAAAAGACTTTTGCACAGTCCTAATTTTTTCATCTTTTTATCCTCATGCATGTGTGTGACGTCCAGGCACCGGTGCCACGTGTCAAACCCAACTTACAAGAAATTACAACGAATAATGGTGGCGCGCACTCCCAGACTAAACACTTTAGCATACATACAGTGGAAACCAATCGACTTCTCTGATACTCTGCAGCACCCTGCTGTCTAAATCTCTCCTTGCCAAGATCTGCGGCCGCAATGGCGACTCCTACGCAGGAAGCCATCGAAACCTTCATGAGAATCACCGGATCCTCCGAGTTCGTCGCTATTCGGAAGTTGGAGGCGAGTTTCTCCGCCTAATATGCTAAATTATACAGATCCTCTTATATGGGTTCCAAAAACAAGAAATTATTATTAAATCCGTTTTTGTTTTGAGAAATGTACTTTTCATTAGTTTATTTTCGCATTGTGGCTTCTTTGTATGTTTCATTTTTTTAGCCAAGCAGATATTCTAGAAATGTAACCCATGGATGATGAAATATTCTTTTTCTGTAACTACTATTAGTCTTCTTTGTGCATTGTCCATCACCACTGTGATTCTTTTCCTTATAATTAATTTCATGCTTTAACGCTATCATTTGGGTTTTCATGCCAAATACTTTTCAGTCTAAGCCCAAACCCTTACACTTTTAAACATATTTTGATTGGTAAGCAGGAGTATGGAGGCAATCTGAATGAAGCTGTCAATGCCCATTTTATTGAAGGGAATAGACACATGTATGGCAAATAATTCATAATCTTTTTCCCATTTCCTTTCAATATTTTGGCTAGAACCTAAATGATGGTGCTTCGTATACCATAAGAACTAAGAAGTTCTGAGTTTTCTTCACCTTTTCTTTTATTTACAAATTTGTTGCAACTATATTGTTCAGTGTGGGGCAAAATCTTGCTGCTGATCCGCAGTATAATCACATGGATGTAAATAATCAAAACTATGCTGGATCACGTGGACTTTTGCCTTTACTCTCTGCTGTGAGGAGGTTTCGACCTTCACTACTGCTTGACTCAAATTATAGGAGAGAACTAAGGGACTTGTATAACAAGACTAGTTGTACTCCACATAACAGTCGTGCACCATGCACTTCACACCCAGGAGAAGTGAGGGAAGCTCCTGTGGGGATCAATAGTACATATGAGCTGTCCCATTATTCAGGATTGAGCTCTTCAAGTATAGATGTGACTGGAAATTCCTCATCTCATGGTCAAGGGTTTTATGGGGCAAATGATTTTCAAAGCAATTGGAACTTAACTCAGCCAAACTCCTCACATATACCAAATAATGCTACAGAGGAGGAAATGATTCAAGCCGCAATAGAGGCTTCAAAGTTGGAGAGCAGAGAGAGTGCTTCAAGGAGGCAATCTGGCACTCTTAATGTATATCATATCTTAAAGCTTAGATTTCTCTTTCTTTATGCTGTCTAAAGTCTCCCCCTGCTTTCTCTATTAATATACTTTCAGGATTCAATAGATAGTAGGCTTCTCCAAAGTAATTTTGACCAAGAAGATGAAGATTTAGCTCGTGCAGTATCATTGTCCTTGAAGGTTTTGAAATCGTATTGGTATTCTTATTATGTGCTTTCTCCATCTTCTTGGTCCTTTATTTAATCACCAATGAACTCAGATGGCAGAGCAAGAGAACGCAATGTATGAACATCTAGCGAAACTGGAAAATGAAAGAATAGGAGTTCATGATCTGTCAACCATGAGAGAGAATGCCAGCAGTAGTGGATGGCAGGTGCATACTTTGTTAGCCTAATGATTTTTTTCAAATATACTCACACAAGAAACTTGTGCGCTTAAGATGAAATGCTTGCATACTTTGGCAATAGCAGGTGAAGACCTATATTAAGACTTTGGAAGGCCATAGTCCCCACCCACAAGTTTGAGATTGAATAAGGGGGAAAAAAACCTTTACATTTTACCTTTCCCCTCCTTTTCTGAAAGTCTGGCCTCCACAAAAATTTATGTTTTTTCTATGAAACCCTCAACTTTATTCATTCTGGCTCTTCCTGCATTCTATTTCCAGTTCTTCCTGTTCTGATGCAAAATGAATGCTCATTAAAAAGCTAGGCAAATACTGCTAAAATTATTTCAATTTATAGCATTTGTCTCAATTGTGTGAACTTAATCTTGCAAATCTAAATTATAACTTATTTGGATGACCTGGGCAGAGTTTACAGAATTGTGATATTCAATTTGAAGTTGCCATCTTGAAACTTATTTTTCAGTCAGCTTATTTGTTCTTATTGTTTGTATTTGGTTTGAGCACTTTAGAAGGTATAGGAATGAAACTGTTTTTCTAAGGACCTGTGCAATAAACAAGGCATACAGATGTTTCTTCTAACAAATGAATATTTTCCAAGTAAAGCCAGGAACCTCATCCAACAGAGGTGGAACCCAAAATGCAGCACAGTCAATAATGGGTGCTCCATTGAGCAGCAGTGCTGGTAGTCATCTTCAAGGCAATGAAGATGTATTTATTTCTCAAGAGGTAGCTATAGAAACCCAAGATAATTTGATTTACTCTTGAAAATTTACATCTCAAAACAATGATGTTATGCTGATACATTGTTGGTTCCTTTTGGCAATGTAGTGGGGAAATATGTCATCTGAAGAGCTTAATGAAGCATTTTTGCTTGAGACAACAATTTTTGGTGACACGTCTGATCGCACTTCACAGAATGTTTCATCTTTCCCTGATCTTCGACATTGTCCGGCAAGAATTGTGGATCCTAAAGTGAAGTTTCCACTATCTCCAACACCACAGTCTTTAACAGCAACTCGGTTGCTTAGAGAACAACAGGTTTTGAATTCTTCATCTCTGTGTTGGCTAAAGAACAACAGTTTTCACCTGTGGTGGCTATTTTTGTGTTAGTGTGTACGTGTTTGTGACAGTATAGCATGGTGTTTCAAATTTTTATGCAGGATGCTGAGTATCAAGCATCACTGCTGGCTGACAAACAAAAGGAATTGAATGCTCTAAGAAAAGTTGAAACCCAATGCTTAAAGGAACAAGAGTCATGCAAGAAGCTTGAAAGGAAGGTACTAAATTCGTCAAGTTTCTGGCTTGTTAAATTGTTTCCTTGGGTTAGCTGAACTATAAAACATTCATTCCTTTTGGATTAGTATGTAATGTTGCTCAAGGCTATAGATATTCTCAGCTGCCTAACTTTCCAGTGTTCATTTGTGGTATTTTTTTTCCCCATCAGTAATGCTTGTTAGAATATTAATGCAGCATCAGAATTCAATAATATGAGCATAACTAATGGCAACTGACAATGATAGCTTGTCTAGAAGTGTGGATTTATGAAATTTGATGGCTCACACTTTCATGTAACTATACTTATTCAAGTCAATGATAGCTTGTCTACAAGTGTCTGTGCATTATACACCTGACTTCGCCCTCATATCAGATATTGAATCATGCTATTAATCGCCACCTTGACCAGAAGGTGATGTGGCTATGGGTATAGGGATATGGACTGAGGCCTTGAGTAGTTTGAGTGTTTGACTTTCAGTGTATCAAACAATAATTCTAAATGAATATGTAGTTTTATCGAAATAAATTGGGAGATGTTTTGTGACATGTTGATTGCAAACTATTATTTAAAGAAGTGAAAATATTCTGAAGATGAATATGTGGTTCAAATCATAACTTTGTTTAAATGTAATTTTGTTTGAAAGATGAAACCCTATTCTATCTATGCAGTTCTCTTGGTGGAAAACTGCATGATTGTCTTCTTTGTTGATCATGGTAAATGATGTTAAAGGAAGGGGCTTCCTTGACATCATTTTAACGGGATTGGTCTGACTGGATAGAATTTTTACATTAATTGTTCCTTCTGTAGTCTTCCATTTGTCGTTACTTATATTGCCTTGTAGGAAAGAGTTATGTCTTGTTCTGCAGTATTATTGCTTTATTATGGTCTCAAAATTTTTATTCTTTTGGTGAATATCACCTCAGGTGGTTTTGTTCTTTATAAATTATAATATTGAAATATATGAAACTATTAAATTTTCAAGTCATGTACCCCTTTTATGGTTACAGGAGGAGAAAATGTTCCTTAAGAAAGAAACTTTTCTTCCTGAGGAACCCCCCATAGATGATAAGAATGCAATTACTATTGTCATCCGAATGCCAGATGGTAGCCGGCGTGGACATCGATTTCTCAAGACTGACAAGCTTAAGGTAAACTTGCATTAGAATTTCAAAGCTGTAGAGTTGATGTTCATTATAATCCAAATCATCTTTAATGATGAATGAGATCAACTATTGAAATAGGTTCATATATAAAATTATAACTCCTATTGATAGCTTGTCCTATTTGACATTCTCACTTTGTCACAAATGCATAAATGGAACCATTTATTTTCCTTCTTAATTTGGAGGAAAATAATTGCTCATTTATTTCAAAGTTGACCCATTTGGGGAAAAAGTTCAAGTTTGGGTTCTCTCTACTTACCTTGTGGATTTTCTGATAACGATCATATGAGGTAAGGTGTGATGAGCATGTCAGAGGAAGACTTTTGTAGATTAATGCATTTATTGTACATTGCTGTGTATTTGGCATGCATGGCTAACAAACTGTGGTTGTGCAACCATGTAGCTTATTTTTGATTTCATAGAAATCGGTGGGGAACTGAAGCCTGGCACCTATAGAATTGTAAGTGTTCCTTTCTTTCTCGTCTGATTTTCTGGATTGAACCTCCTTTGAAGTTTAATATGGCATGGTTTCCTGCAACTGGGTAACTATAGAAGTTTTTTAGCTGTGAAATATTTCTCGTGGCATTTCACATAAAGTGTCTGAATGATTCACTTCTGCCTTACACACAGAGAAAGAGATGTCTCTGTGTGTGTGTGTGTGTGTGTGTGTGTGTGTACACCGGGAATGCTTGCGTCCTCAATTTTTTGTGGAGGTCATTATCATCCACATTTGACATTAGGCAAAAACTATTCCTGTCTTGAAAAGATGTCATAAATAGAAGAGTCATTTTTCTCAACACAAACACAAGGTCTCTGATGGAACCCTCTACTCTAATAAGCTTTAAAAAGGCACAACCAGAAAAATACACTACAAATGGGACTGAAAATAATAGCAGTTGGATTACAAGCAAAATAAGGAACTGAAAGTAGATGAAACAGCGCCGAATTCACTCCACCAAACAACAACACAAAATATAAATCACTCACAAACACACACTGAGCAGAAGGTAAAATGATGAAGAAAGATGACTTCCTCCACCCCAATGCACTGGACTTTTGAGAGGCCACAACTCTCCTCACCACTCTCAATATTCAAAATACTCCACACGCCTCTCCCTAGGCAACGAGGAAGATTTAAAGACCCAAAAAGTGACTCTAACACAGCCCTTACCCCTAGAAGACTCTAAAACATCACTAGGACTTTAATACATCACTAGGCCATCAATTACTTTCCCTTATAACCAGGATCCAGAGGGTGAACATCTGAACCAGCAATAATGTTATCTCCAAGCTCATTGCCTTCCTTGATTTCCTCTTAGAGGTTTTCATAAAATCATGCGCTCTATCAGTCTCATATTTCAACATTTTAAAAACTAGGGTTTAGGGTAGCATACCTGAAGGTTATTATTGGCTTAATACTTGATTGGACTTAATTCGAGTGGTTTGAGATAAATCTCATTTTCTGTACAAGTGGGTTTTTTTTTTTTGGTCTTTGCATTATATGATTAGGTTTCTAAATTTTGGCCGAAAGTAAAAAAAGTTTCTAAAAGCTTCTAATAGTAAATGCATAAAGAAATTCACCCAAGTCTAAACCTTTCTAATAAACATATCATAGAATCATTCCAGTGACAGTTGTAATTATTTGTTGGAAAGCTGACAGAAAAGGTGCAGAAATGGCATTTAAAATCAATGTTTTTGAGCTTCTATATGTGATATAATTGGTTTGAATGGGTATTGAATTTGTGAAGGAAATTATTTTTATTCATATCATTGGATGCGTTTGTGTTTGAGATGTAAAAATAACCAAATAATCATTTCTTGTATACTTGGTGAATAGGTGAAGTCATACCCCCGACAAGCTTTCAGTATGGATGATAGCTCATTTACCTTGAGTGAAGTAGGCCTGACCAGCAGGCATGAAGCATTGTTTCTGGAATTACTTTAGATAAATGTGTTCCTGTAAGTATTCGCGTCTGTGTAGATAATAGTTATCGGAAAGATGGTATTAACCTAACAGAAGGGTTGTGCATATTTTTAATCCAGAGATAGTCTTCCCCTGCCCTAATTCGAATGCCAATTTGGGTATTAACAAATTTTAAGAAGCATTTCTTTTACTTTTGAGTATAAAATATGTTTTTGACGAACCTATTATTTTTCTAGTTAATACATCAAATCATGCATTTTGGTTTAAAACTATTTCTTTCCCCTTATTGTTCTTTTGAAATTCGAAAGAAAAGAGGACAATCAATAGAATTAAAACGTCATAGTTTTACATTCTGGAACTGTCAGGTGAACCATGTTGTTCGAAGCGATCCAAGTGAGACTGGGACTACGTACTACGCGAATCAAGTGTTCTTCTAGTCGATCAAATCAAGCACACTCTTGCCTTTTATTCTCCAACTATATGAAAGGCTGTAAAGAGTTTCTTGTGTATTGAAAAGAAAACGAGAGTTATTTGCCTGATAAAAAATCAACACAAGGGAGGTTGGTATAATTTCTGGACGAAGTGGTGATGATTGTAATTTCAGCAGCTTGAATTTATGACTTAATTGTTTTGTATGCATGTTCACTTTGCACCCACAGAATTGGGTTTGGAAAAGAATGGAATTTCCTAAGAAAATTAGAAAAAATCTGGGTGAAGAGATGGATCAAACTAGCTTCTTGCTTTGTTCAGGTGGTGCAGTCCAATACTGCTTGACTGCTAACAGTATCTTCTCTCTGGGTGTGGACCCTCTTCGTGGTTTGCAATTCTGGTTTCCCACTGCATTGCATCTGCAATGTTCTTCACCTTTATCAACACATCCACATCGTCACGCAGAATGACACTGCCTCTTGGCCTCAAAATCCTGTCCATTTCTAGAAGAATATCCTCCATATTGCATCTGCGGCACATTGTTAGATGTAATTAGAATACCCATAAGGTTTCACAATCTGGATTTCTATTTTCACTTTGAAATGGGTGAGCTGAGTTTACTTTGACATTTACCTGTTCTGGTAGAGGCTGAAAACTGAATCACCATGTATGAAGTCATAAGTTCTTGGGTAGGTGGACATGGCTTCACACCTGAGTGCAGAGAAACGTTGTTATTGGTGAGTTGTACTTCCATGCTAAGGAAATTTGATAGAGGACAAACCTTGATTGTGTGCCTATTTATTTAAAACCGTTTTTTTATTAAAAAAAATGTAGACTCTTTTCCGCCATAAAGCTGCAATTTGGTAGAAAGCCCTTGCCTATGTTAAGTTCTATATATGATTCAAGAAAGATGCAACTACTTGTTAGATAGGCAAACAGGAATCCCCTTTTCAGTTTTCACCCAATGTTGCATGCCTTGATTTCCCACTTAGCTTTTATATGTAGAATAAATTAATCAATGATGATAACATAAACACACTAATATGTTCCTAACTTTCTGACATGTTCTTATGTGTTCATAATTTGCCGCGTCTAATTATTTTCCGTAAATAGAGTCCACCTGCAATTTTTTTCTCCAGAAACGAGGCTTACCAGTTTTGATAGGTACCAATCAATCCACGTTCGTAGATAACTCCTAGGGTGTTGATCTCAGCCTCCACAGGGACAATGTTCATGACCCACACAGGATCATCAGCTAAAGCAGCTGCAAAACCTCCCAAGTAAGAATTCATATCAAGCAGGTTTCTGTGCCTCCCACGCTCTGCTAGCTGATAATCCATGGCCTTGTAGTGTGCCGCTCTCTTTTTCCATAACTCTGTATTTTCTCTGAAGATCTCTGCGGTGATTCCATTCAAACTTCCTCTTGTAATTCTTGGAGGGACTGAAGTGAGCCTTTCAGGCCATTTGGCCAATTTCCCACCGCTAACCTCCTGGATGTCAGTTACCTCAGGTAGTGGGGTCAAGCAAGTCTCCATTTTAGTGTTCCTGCAATAAATTGGTAGTAACTATCAGACCTTCAGAAAGATTAACAAAAAAGAAAAGAAAAAGAACAGATACAGATATTCATTTGTAGGCCCCCAATAAGAATCTTAAACGCTTTGTTCTGGATATTGAGGAACCTAATGGAATGGAGTATCTGACAAGGCAGAATATGCATAAGAAACTTATGGTGAGTTGATACTGACTGCTGTCTTCATTATCCTACTGGTTTTGGTATCACTGGCCATGCTAAACCCTCTCTCGCGGCAAGAATCACATGCTTTTTTTTATTGCTTTTAGATTCTCCTTATCTAATATGAATCTTCCATGAATATCACTATCTTCTCTAGTATCTTTACTTCTTCATTGTGGAAACTGACAATAAGAGCAGCCACACTAAGTCAGAGTTTGAGCCCAATGGTATTAATATAGGCCATCACATTTCTTCTGACAATCAGGCATTTGTTTAATAGTAAACCTAGAAAGTGTGAAATTACCATGTTGTGTCTGGATCCTGTGCCTCACAGAATGGTCGATTCTGGATGACCTTTTTGGTATTCTTGCAATGTACATGGTTTTTGGGTTTCTGCCATATTGCGAGATCATCCTTCTGTACCAATTTTTTCCAGCACAGGCTCCTTGCAACCTCCTCAATCCCATCCTGTTCTTCTTTAAGACTATCAGGAGTCCTCTCCCACCCTTTCCAGTGCTTTTCCCAGTTGATCGGCGGCCCCGACAGAATCCAATAGCCACCGGGACGCAGTACTCGATCGACTTCAGTTAAGTAAATCCCATCTATGAAACCATAAGCAATTCACAACAACAAAGTTCTTCAATGATGAAAGTTTAGTGTGGTCAAAACTGTATCTATACGATGCTATATATATATATATATATATAAAAGGAAATGGAGGGTACCATAGTGGCCCCAGGGAATGAGGCAACGTGAACAGTGAGCCATGTCAAAGGCTCTTGAAGGGTAAGGAAGTCTCACTGAGGCAAGAACTCCAATCAAAGCAGGGACTCCACGTTCAAGAGCAAATTGAACCTGGGCTTCATGCGTGTCTTTTGGTGCAAATGACACTGTTAAAATGTCTCGAGATAGAAGGTAAGCTCCCCAACTTGCCACCTGAAAATTAGCCAGTAAAACACTTGTCATATAGAAATTTAGAGTCATGGACATAAATGAAATGACGTCCTATGTGGCATGCGAGGGAAAAAAAACCAACCCCCCCCCCAAAAAAAAAAAAAAACACTGCCTAATAGTGAAGTTTCTATGATGTTGATGGGAATGTGACATGAGAGTGGCTTCATTTTTCATTTAGCGAATAAAAATATCGTATATATTTAAAAAGAAAATAGAAAAAAAATATGTTGAAGGAGATTATAAAATTGTCATGCACATTTATACCATTTCAGTGTCATGTACTATTGTAGATCACAATTTAATATGCTATAGTTTGTGATGTGTGGAGACGTCTCTCTCTTTTAAACTCGGTTCTTTTTTAGGTCTTGATGTTTCAGATTCTTTTTTTAAAAAATATTAACTCCATATAAAATGTGCATTTAAAGATGGTCTAAGAAGATATATAAGGTCAATTGATGGATAACTGACTCAAAAATATCTTTTATCGCATTATTAACATTTGAAAAGTGATATGCAACAGGAGACAGTGCTACTTCCATGTGGAACTATATGCTAATGGGTGTTAATGTATCTATGCCTTTTAATTCATCAACAAATGTCATTAAAAAAGTAAAGCACATCATCTATATCTATATCTATAATATAATAAAATATGCCGGCTAAAAATATAATATAATATTATATTACCATCAGGTCTACTTTAATTACTTAATTAGATGTCAAAGTTGAAACTTTAATCTACCAATTATGTCACTAGATCGATCAAGCATAGTATCTAATGAAAAATATAATATTCCTTTGTGATTATTTAATTTAAAGGATATTTGGACACAGTTTTTGGATAAAACAGCCAACTCAATCACAATTCACACTCGTAGCTAGTATAATTCCATTTTTGTTTTGTTTTCAAAACACAAATGTGCGTGTAAGTCACGTCGTATAAGATTGGAAAATACATTAAATATACAATAATTTATGGGATTTGCCATGTTTATTTGTTTCCACTCTTTTTATAGTAAGCATGGTATAATCTAGAATTAACTTTCTTTTAAAGCACTTCCTTGATTTACCTTAAATTGTGTAGTCTCATAAATGATCCTGCCCTCCAAGCATCAAAGCAAAATAATATATATAATCTACAACTTCAAATTAAAAGTTATTTACGCTAAATAATTTGAAATTTTAAAATTTTTTCAGACCAAAACTATTACAAAAGCCGTAGTTCAAGGATTACGAAAATTTTCATTTTTAATATTTTTAGGATGATTGCAAACTTAAAAATTATTAATATAGGTGTTTTTCTTTTTAATTTGGAACCTTAAAATGTAATTTATTTTCAAGATTATCTGAAATCTGTTCCAGCCCAGAATACCATTCGCCTTCTTAATCATTCCCCAAAAAAAAAATGAAAGAGAAATTAATATATACTTTTTTGACATCAGAGAGGAAATTAATATATATATATATATATTTGAAAGGAGAATGAATCAAGAAATTAATGTATTTTCAGAATCAAACAAAAAATAACAAAAGCAAGTGGTGGAATTGTCCATTCCAGCTGTGGAAGTTGTTAAACTAACCCAGAACAGGGAGAGGTGAACCATCCGGTTCAACAAGCAAAACCGGGCGGTCCAAAAAGAAAATGAAAAAGAAATGCATGAAATTACGAATCCGATTAAAGAATCCAATCCACGTAGTCGCTGGTTAAGAATCGAGAAAGGAGAAGAATACCGTACCCCACAACCGGTGTCTATGGCGGTTCTGATAGACCCATCTTTCAGGTTGATCAGCTTTCCGATGTCGTCGATATACGCTCCGGCGCCACGTGGAAACATGGTCCCACCACCCGGGAACCTGAACCGGTCCTTTTCGAACCGGATCCAGTTCTGTTTCGCCTTCTCAATCGTCAGCTCCTTGTGTGGCACGTTGGCGTACCAGGCCAAGTCCCGACACGCAGGCCACCGGAAAGGAATACGGTACCCGAACGGCGCCGGAATACGGCACTTCAACACCTCTTCCTTCTCCGGGCAATGCCTTTCCCGGTAGATTAGCCTGTCACGGTCGAATTTCAGGGACCTCTCAACGTCCTGACAAGGAGTATACTCTGAGAAGGAAGCATGGCAAGGAGGGAAATGAAAGCTACGCGCCGCCGTGGAATGTGGGTCAGGGAGGTAATGACGGGACGAGAAGTCGAGATTGCCATTTAGAGGCGCCGGCGAGATTGAGGTGGTCGAATTGCGCTCGACACGGAAGGGAACGGGGACGCGTGAGTGGGCTGTGACGACGGTGGCTGACCGGACGCCGACGTGGGGGGAGTGCTGCCAGAGGCTAAGAAGGTAAAAGACACTGCAGAAGACGGTGGTGATGATGAAATAGTGAAGATTCTTCATGACACTAGGATTGTACAGAGGAATAGTTGGGTAATTGGCCATTCTTGTCTGGTTTAATACAGAGGAGGGAGGAAGAGGAAGAAGAAGAAAGTGTTTGGAAGCGAAAAGCCAAAAGGGTATATAAATGAGTTCTTGGGCTT